GGCCATCCCCCACAGCCCAGGCCACCAGGGCCTCCTCCGTCCTGACCTCACTGCCCGGCCTGGGCCGTGGTCCCTCCTGCTGCTCACTGTCTTCCCAAAGGCCTGCAAGGCCGGGCCTCCTGACCGCACTGCCAACCCGTTCCCAGGGGTCTCGGGAAAGCCCCCGGGCGTCCCTGACCCTCAGGCTCTGAGGCAGGGTGGAGCCTCTTGCCTGGGCTGCCCCGGAGAAGTGCAGGAGCCGCTTGGCCTGAGGCAGGGCTGCTGGCCGCCCTCAGCTCCAGGAGGTGAGGTGAGAGTGTCTCAGCAGTCACTCCCTGTGAAACACATCCCCTCCTTTCCCAGGCGCCTGGATCCCACCCCGGAGAGTCACCCCGATCCTTCTCTGCTGCGAGCAACCCTCAGAGAGAATGCGTTCCGTAGGCTTTCCCCTGAGGTCCTGCTGAGGACAGCGGTGAGAGGGAGAAAACATTTGGTGCATCAATGAGGCATTGAGGGACAGATGTGCTGGGTAGAAGCAGGCAGTGACCAGCCGTCCTCATGCAGGGGACACAGAACCACAGGGGCCAGGGCCCCTCACCTGCTGGCAGGTGGCCATTGGATTGTCTGTGCACACCCAGTGGGGGTGCTCACTGCTACCTGGAGGCCTGCAGTTACGGTGGACATCCCCGAGCATGGGGTGTACCCTGTATTCACTTCCCCGCCAACAACTGAGGCCACCTCGGTCCCAAGCAAGCCCTCTGGGGCTAATCCTTTGGGTGTGGGGAAGGAAGGGACACAGCACTGAGGTCTGGGCAGGGCCCAGGAGGTGTGTGAAGGCCCCGTGCCCTTAACCCTCCCCAGTGGACTGGGCACAGGGCCTGGCTGTGTGGGGAGGTCATTGGTTTGTTTTCCAAGGACAGACCCCTACATCCCAGCCCCATTGCCCCCCTCCTGTGCCTGCAACCCAACACTGTGTATTGTCTCCATGTCATATGCCTCAAGGCTTAGGCCTTGGAGGAACAAGAAATGATTTCAGGACAGGAAATAAATGAGCCAATAATAGAAGTCCGGTTTCTACAATTTAATCAGGACTTAGGGAAGTGAAGGTGAGAAGTGAATGAATATACCAGGCCTTAGTGGGCTGCAGCTTGGGGCAGGGGGAAGCAGGAGGAAACCAGGACACAGGAAACAATGACAGATCATGTAGGTGCTGTGATACAAATGGTGCTGGGGCAGCCCAGGGGGAGGGACCACTCTGGCCAAAGGATGGGAGGGTGAAATCCAAGATGGCTGCTAGCAGCAGCTGGCACTGAAGGAAAAGCCATGAAAGCTGGCAAAGTCACAATGCACTGGGTAAGAAATTTGGGGAACAATTGTGGCAAAACTTAAAAGTCAGGTGTGTGAGGGCAAGGGGGAGCCGGGCAAGCAAAACAGTGACAATCAGAGACGCCTGTGGAAAGAGGCCTCTGGCAGCAGGTGGACAGAGGGCCAGGCAGGCCTGGTGTGGAGAGACATGCAGAGGGGACAGGTATAGGGATGGCTGCAGGGTGGGGAGGAGGGGACACATTTCAGAGACATCACAGGAGAACAGGGGGACAGGACTGGGGCCTGACTGGACGGCAGTGTCCTGACCAGAGAGGCAGGGAAGTCAGGGGGAGGGAGGTTCAGGGAAGAGGCAGGGCACACAGGCTGAGTTCTGTGTGGGCCAAACAGAGTCACAGGAGCTGAGGGCCTCCCCGGGGGTCTGGGGGTAGGAGAAAGCTCTGAGCTCAGCAGTGATCATGGCAACCAAGGGGGTAGAGACCACCCTGAGGAGGGGGTGCACGGGGGAGACAAGGGCACTAAGGGGGACCTTGCAGAGCAGCTACCGTGAAGGCAGAGCTTCTCCACCCGTGCTCCCCACACAGCTGCTCCCCCAGGGGATACTGGGCACCAGGCCTGTGGCCAGTTGGCTTGGGAAGTGCCGAGGGGACCGCAGACACCGGATATTGAAGACAGGATGAGAAAAGGAATGTAAAGATTTGTCACTAATACTTTTGATATTGATCACATGTTAATATTTTGGGTCTACTCAGTTAAGTACAATGTATTCAAAAAATGATTTATTTCTCTCTTTATGTTTTAAAAATGTATCTGCTAGAAAATTTAAAATTACACATGTAGCTTCCACATTATATTATCTTATATTTCTATTGGAAGACACTGTTCTAGAACCTGATTTTACGGATGTGGATAAATGTTGGGAACAAGTAAGCAGAGGCGAGTACTGGTGGGTCGGATTTGCAGATGGCGCAGCTTGCCGTGCGGCACCCGATCTCACTGCCAGGCTTAGGCATGCGCCTTTCAGTGGGGTGCCGCTGACTTCCCGTGGTGGGTTCCTGCGAGGAGGAGGGCCGATGCGAGGACGCGGCCGTGAAATGGTTTTTGAAGGAGAGACATGATGCGTTGTCAGGACCAAGGGTGGAGTAAATGGGGTGAAGGTGAGGCAGGACACAGGAGAAGTGCACAGAACCAGAGGGGTGGGGTGGGAGTCTGGGCGGTGCAGAGAGAGAGGAGGGGAGCCGCAGGTGTGCCTCTGTCGGTTAGCCGGGTTGTGGAGCTCACTCTGGAGGCTGCCAGGTGGGCACGTAGCGAAGCGCGGTCCTGGATGGGCGCTCCGCGAGACACCCATAAGGCCCAAGCGCGTGGGGGTCAATTGGGCACAGGCATGTAAGGGTCCCTAGCTCTAGTCAAGTGTGTACCATGAGCAGGGACAAACGGCTTGCATCTCGTCGAGGCGAAGACTCCAGGGAATGGAGGGCCCGGCCCCAAGCATTGGTGTAGGTGGGATCTTCTTGCCGCTTGTAGAAGGTCTATTTCGGCTGCCATCAGGGTTGAGAAGCGATCTGTACTTGAAGGCGCGTGGGCTCAGGTGGATGTCAGGGTCATGTGCATGGACAGGTAGGGAAAGTCACGGATGTCCGTCTGCCGGCACAGGGTAAGCTGCTGTCCACTGCGGCTTCAGCAGCATCTCGCGGTCGCACCCTGCAGAGGGTGGCCGCCGGCCGGCAGCCGCTTCCTCATCACACTGCCACCGGGTGCAGGCAGGGCACCACGTGGAAGGGGAAACTGTCGCGGCCAGCCTCGCCCACCCGCCT